GTTTGTTTTCCCCACCTTAAAAAAATCAAACCAAATTTTCAACATACTGCAGATGAGACCTCTTAGACAGGGTTCTAGTGCTTTCCATATTGTGAATCTTGATTTTAAAACTGGTCAAGAAAGAAAGAAATGGCATATTTGTGAGGAATCAGTCAAGGGATGTCAGCAGACTACTATTTTTTTTTCTTCTTCTAGGACATGATTCTCTGTATTTTAACATCAGTCTTCCAGAACATTTTTTCTTTAGAATTCTTAAACCACTATCCAATTAGTGCTTGTTTTCATTACAACAACTTCCAGGAAATTGGTGATAGTGCTGTTAATAGGATGATATCATACAGCCACCCCTTTCTAATTTAAACTCACTTCTATGGCTGAGACTGCTGCATTCCAACATAATGTGTTATAAATAGTTTATCCTAAAGATGAATACCAGAAAGCTGAGAAATTCTCACTCTTTATTGATGCATTTGAGCCTTCTGGTCTTCATTTAGCCAAGTGGTTCATTGTATTAAAATTTCTGCTCAGTAGGAGATGATGCAAGCAGAGACATATGTATCCTGCCAATAGGCAAGGCCTACAGACATAGTGATTTCCCCAGTCCTGACTCAGGATGATACCATGAGACAGGTGTTAATTTCTTGGAGAGATGCAGAATCACTTATGGTTACCTCTACATTAGCCTTCATCTGGACTTCAGCTGATGGGGAAGCATAGACAGTTGTAGATTGAAGGACCTGGATGAACCTCTCTCCATTCAGCACATGGGACATGTGGTAACACGTAGGGGCAGAGGCGGCTTCAAGTATAATTTTGACTTTCCCTTCATTCTATGTCCTTGTTTATTTTAGCCCTTGATCACCTTGGAGGGAAGCATATCATTCAAGTTTACTTCCGAAGGAATGAATACCATCACAGTACAGGTCTCAGCTGGGAATGCCATCCTGCAAGACACAAAGACTATCGCAGTGTATGGTGAGTGCTCATCCGTACTGATGCTCTTAGTCAGATGTGATTGGTCCTATGATGCTAAAGACTTCCCTGGATTCGAGATGGCAGTTCTTGAGAAAGAGCTAGGATGGTCTTAGAGAATGCCATTCACTAGCTGAACAGTGGTCATGTATGCTGCAGGTTTCTGGTGCATGCAGGGAGAATCATGCTCCACCCATTTGGGTAGGATAGACCGGACCTCATCATGAGTAAGACTAACTCATTATAATTTGGATTCACCCCTTGTATTTGAGTAGCTGAAACCACTTATTAGGAAATGACTAATTAAGAGAGATTTTGTTTAAAAAAATCTTTCCAGTATCTAATATTTTCAAACTTCTGCCACAAATCTGTACTTGAAACAACAAAAAGAAAACCTTGTGACACCACCAACAAAAGCAAACTCTCTACTAGAATAAAATCAATAGAAACGTTACAGCCATCAGAGGCCAGGCACGGACTGGATAGCAGTTGGAGAAATAGCCATACAGTACAGTTTTGTGGTCAGCTGGGGAAACTAATATATTCTAAGTATTAGATGAGGTGAAATTTACTGAAATGAACAGGTAGGGTTATTTGATTCAAAATGAGAGATTAAAAATAGTTTTTACAGATTGATCCCACTTTGGTGATATTTTCTCCATATAAAACACTAATCAGATGGATATGAACTAAGTGTTACCAGCATACAGTTAAGATGTACGTTTTTGTTATTAATATGAAAGTAGTACAAAAGTATCATGGGAAATTAAAAGTTTTAAAATAAGATTTTAAAATTAGAGGAAGAATATACTTGCTGGAGAAGAAGAAGAATGTGAAGGTGGGAAGAAGAAATGGAATGTGGGAGAGAAAATTTTTATTTTTTTTCAAATATCAATTTAACTCAGTTGCAGAACAATTGATTCCCATAATATAATGTAGCTCTAGATTGCCCTTAGGGCATACAGCTCTTTCTTTCAATTCCTTGTTGTGCCATCTTGACCTTCAAAACCAGAGAGCAATTTGTAAGCAACTTTGAACATGTCTGAAGATGAAAAGGCCTAAGGATATTGTTCTAGAAACAGCTGGCTCGGTGTTGGATCTTATGGTTTTGCCTCTCCCTGCACTTCAGAGAGATCTGATCAGTTTAGACAGCAAAAGGAAATAACCCTCACAAGACGGATTCCCAACCCCCAAGGGCTACAACATGACCATGTATGGTGGGGAGAGATGTTGGTTCAGCTTCCTTACCATTTTCCTTTCTATGTGTTGGGGAAGCATTGCAACTTTGCAGAAACCCTCGCATAAGGGAAGAGGTTGTGCTATTTGTAAGTTTCCCCCATTGGTCATGGTTGGAATTAGGCTACAACCCCAACCCATCTAAGCCCTGTGTATTAGGTTCTTTTCGTTTTCTGTGCCAAAATACCATGGAAATATTCTGGTTCACTTTTCCAGAGGGCTAGAGCCCACTGTGGCAGGTAAGAAATGGCAGCAGGTGGAGAAGCTGCCTGATGTTATCACATCCATATTCAGGAGGCAGGGCAGAGAGCACCGGACATAAGGTCAGACTATAAAATCCTCAAACCCCACAGACAGCGGCCTATTTCCTCCAGTGAGGTTCTGCCTTCTAAAGCAGTGGTTCTCTAACGGTGGCTCACATCGAATGACCTGTTCACAGGGGTCTTCTAAGACTGTTGTAGAACACAGATGTTTGCGTTATGATCCACAACAGTAGCAAAATAACAGTTATGAAAGTAGTAACAAAAATAACTTCATGGTTGGGGGGTGACTACAACATGAGGGACTGTAGTAAACAGTTGCTGCATTTGGAAGGTTGAAAAACCAGTGGTCTAAAGTTTTCATAACTTGTACAAACAGTGCTACCTGTTGAGGACCAAGTGTCCAAAAAAGTGATCATGTTTAGGTCATTTCACATTCAAACCACAAGACCCTAAATAACTTGACTCATAGCCTTACCATGGATGCTCTTGCCCTCCTAGATGGATCCCTCTCCCTCCTGAATGTCACAAGTGGTCTCCTTGCTCAGGTGTGTGGATGATCTCCTTAGTAGAATCTCCCAGAGATCCTTAAATTTGGAAGTTCTCTGTGTTGTTCTTATGCAAGCTGTCATTTACTGCTTGGAAATTATGGAAAGACATGGGAAACTGCTGCCTTAAAATCATTCTGCTACTTTGCAACAGTTCCATTAGTAACAATGGTGTCAGTGACACGGGCTAATGCTGATGAAGCCTGTTCTAATCACCAGCATCTGTCCCAAGCACTTGAGATATATGAACTGCCTTATTAAATCCTGTGAACAGACATGAAGGAAAAATTCTATAATTATCCCTGCGTCACAAATGAGAAAGCATGGCACAAGTACAATGAACAAACACAGCCTAAGAATGCTGTGTTCAGAAGGGTCATTTCCATACCAGCTTCCTCTTGTTATGCATTGGCCCCACTCTCAGTCTCTTTAAAGGCATCTTCTAAAATTAGAAGTGTGCAATCATCTATCTATCCATCTATCTGTCATCTATCTACAAAACAGTGGTGGTTCATCCATCTCTCTATATATCATTTTTTAGCTATCATCTATCTATCTGTCTATCATCTATCTATCTATTATCTATCTATCTATAATCTATCTATCTATCACCTATCTATCTATCATCTATCATCTACATACAGTGGTGGATCATCTATCTTTTCACTAAAAGCATTAGTAGAGCAGATGGCCCATTCTTCCTATCCTTCATTCCCTCTCCATCAGACAAGTTATCCAGGGAGTCACATACATAGCCTGAAATGTTTTGTTTATTTTTTGATTGTTTGTCTGTTAGGGCAGTGATAGGACTGAACCTAGAGTGTAATACCTGTGAGACAAGTGTTATCACAGAAGGATAGCCTCTGCCCAGTGATTTGAAACTTTTAATGCATTGTGACTTCTTAAATAAACATTTTACTGACTGGAGTTAAAAAGACAGTTTTGAACTCGGCAGAAAAAGGAAGAGTGGGTTTTTAATCCTGGGGCTAACTGGCAGAAGTGTGTTGGAGAAGCTTATGGAGTATGTGTAGGCCTTAGTGTGGTTCAGCCACCTAAAGCAACTACTGTCACCTAGGGAATTTAGTGTCCACTTTCCTACAGAGGCAGAAAGTGGACAGCTCTGCCTTTTTTTTGGTTATGGCCATGTTTCAAAGAAATATTTCCCCATGGTCCTAGGGAAACACATTTCTAAGTTATTCATGATTTACCTCTTAAAGTGACAGAGACAGAATCTACAGCTGCAAGTTTTCTAGATTGAATATCCCAAGAAAAGTGTCCAGCAACTACACCCAGAGGATACCTGCACAGAACTTAGCAAAACAGCAGGAAAGCAAAGACCATCATGTCAATCAGCAGGAGGCAAACTATTGAGGCATGATGGAGGAAGGCTGGTCTACCCAAGGCCCACAAACAGACTGAAAGGAAGGTACTCTAGCATGTATTGTTTGCCCTCACATACACCAGGGCACAGGTCTGCCTTTACAAATGGTTAGTGTATCAAGTGAATTCATCTACTTCAATAACTTCAAAAAATGCCACTTAATTGGCATTTCATTTTTTCCAGCCCTCCTTCTTGTATTTGAATACTTAGGAAGAACATTTCTAAGCCATTCTAATGTCACTTCATGCTAAGTGATAATGAAGAAGCTGCAGCATTTGTGTCCTTTCACCAGGCTAGACACATTCCCTTATAAGTGAAATCACTGCCCTGTGATGAGAGGTAAGGACAAAGTGAGAATGACATAAACCTCTGCCTTCAGAGTAAAGTCAGAACTCACTGGGTGACTCTTTAATGCTGTCATTTATCACACCAAGAATTTATATTCTTGTAATTGTTCTCCACCAGAAATGAATTAGTGATGTTCACAAGGGTGACCAGTGACTCACAAAATAGTCACACTTTGAAAAACATATCTTTGGAACAAAGCCACTGTCATAAATACACATTTTATTATTTAAGAGTTTTCAAAGCATGTGTTTGATAGCTCATTACCATTGTTAGAAAATGCACAAGTGGGCTTTTATGCTTCCAAGATGTATAATTGGCATCACCGATGTCACTTAGCCCCCACTGAAGCACAAGGACATGATTGAAACAAGAATTGATTGTCAAATAAGTAAATGCATAATAACAAAACCTTCATGGAAATGGAATCCTTTGTACATTGAATACACATCCACAAAGCCCATGCCTGGTCTTTAGAAGGTACAGTTCCAAGGTCAAGAATACAGAGCCTCTCCTCACTGTGTGTGTGAGGGGAGAGAGAGAGAGGGAGAGAGAGAGAGAGAGAGAGAGAGAGAGAGAGAGAGAGAGAGAGAGAGAGAGAGAGAAAGAGAGAGAGAGAGAGAGAGAGAGACTGTGTCTGTGTCTGTGGTGTATACCAGTGCATATAAAGAAGAAATATCAGATGACAGAGTCAGTGGAGAGTGGGATGCTCTGTGTTTGGTGATCAGAGCAGCCTCTCTAATGAGGGGTGGAGGGAAAGAACCAGGAATGCTGTAATGTGTGGCAAGGAGAAACATCCACTATGGAAAGTGGATGGCATGATGGAGAAGCAATGGGAGGGATGGAGCTCAGGAGTGTAATGTACGTAGGCAGGGAAGCCCTGTGGATATGAGATAGCAGAGGCAGGCTACACAATGTCATGTAGGATGAAAAAGATTATGGTAAGGAAATGCATTTATTCTAAGTGCAACATGGAGTAACTAGTCAATCAGAGTACTGTGTTCTGCGTGTTAAATGAGCCAAATACTATGAGTAAGGGGTGCTGAGACCTAAAAAATACACCTTGACACTATATTCTGAAGCTCACACCAGACTGGGGTCTTTACTTTCTGGGGACATATGCCAACTAATGACACAGTGTCACAGAATACTAAAGCTTACCCTTTCTTGGAACACAGGGCTTCCTTTGCCAGTTGACTCCTGTCCTGCATGCCTTGGTCTAAGTGTTCTCCATGCCTCCTTTGAGCCCCTCCTCATTTTATCCCAGAAAATTCCTCTGGTAACATCACTGTTACTTGAAAGACCATCCCACTTCCTGGAGGATCATGATAACTCAGGGACTACAGAGGAAACTAAAATGTCCCCAATGTTATGAACAACATGAAATACCAGCCTATGGAACTTATGAGAAGAACACCCTAACAATAGAATAATTACATTAATAAATATAAGTATATAAGATCCTAATTGCTATACCTTCATAAAATAAAAGCATATGCTTAATACAGTACTATAATTTAAAAATGAAATTAAAACATCAATGATGAGGAAGAATGTTCATTCAAAAAACTCTTTAAATTGTTATAGAATGTACTTGTAGGTAGGTACAGGAATGAATGGGCATTCCTGTTATGGGAACAGGGTACTGCATGCATTCTGGCGTCTTAACATTGCCATGTGTCCAGGGCCCTTGGACCATTTAATGTCCAGGATTTCAAAGCCTAGAGCTAGGATAATGGTAAAAGGCTACAGAGCTAGGTATGGGTCAGAGTCCATGGCTTCAGTTTAGCAAAGGAAGAGTTGGAGAAATCACAGGTACAGGATAGTGACTTTGCCTTCTAGAAGGGTCAATATGAAGAGTATGAAAGATTTTGTATGAAAAACAGTGTTCTGACTGCTTTGTGGAGTAATTTAAATTGTAGTGATGGACTTACTGTTATATCCACAGAGGAATTCCGTTCTCTTCGCTTGGCGTTTTCTCCAAACTTGGATGACTACAACCCTGACATCCCAGAATGGAGGAGGGACATCAGCCGAGTCATCAAAAAGTCTCTGGTGGAAGTGAGTACAAGCATTACCTTCTCTACATCAGACATAGTCCTTCCCTGCCTTTGAATGACTTCATGGAGAACAGAACCTTTGCAAAGAAAGAAGACAGAGCTGGAGCCCAAAGGAAATATCAAATTCATATCTTAATATTTGTGATTCATATATGCATGCCTGTCTTCATTATTGGGTAAGTCCAACCCTCAGAAACACATGGCCCTTGGCCCCTATGAAGCTAATTCTTCTTCAAGAAGACCATCTACATCTGTGACAGTTATGCAGCTGAGTTTGGGATTTGGTAAATTTTTCATTAGTAAATGAAAAGTCAATTACTGTGCATAACCAAGGAGAACCCTGCCTAAGTGTCTTCAAGGGTAAATGAAATTAATAAGAGAAGCCCAGCTCCAGATCCACATGTCAGCACACAGCTCCAAGAGCACATGGTACAGGATGCCTACCCATATTTCAGTGTCTGAATTCTTTTAAAGACATTTCTTTTCCTTCCCAAGAGAAGCTGATTAGTATCCTTGTTTTGTAGAAAAAGCCACTGAGATTACTCCCCCAGACTCTCATGAATGATAGGCGACAAAACTAGAAAATTGAATTAAATGACCTACTTTTCATGTCTGGGACCTTACAATGTAACACAGCCTCTAATCCCCCTAAGCTTTCTGGAAGAGTAGGGAGGTGATGTGGATTGTTCCTCCATGGGCACAGGTTGCTGAAGACTGGAGAAGACATCTTTCTTAAACACCTCTTCCCCTATCTGCTTTGTTTTCATCAGTGGCTCAAAGAGTGAGACATCTGCTCATGGGTTGATCAATGTAGTGTCAAACATGGGAAATCAATAATTTCCCCACAATATGTTTAGATCAGTTAACATTTGCTAGATAAACAGAATAGAAAGAATGAATATATTCAAAGGACATTTGGTAGCGTAGTTTATAGGCCATGGTCCAGCTAGTTCAATAATGGCTGTCTCCCGAAAGAAAGTCCCACCCCAAATCCAATAGTTGTTCAGTCAATGAGACTGAGTACATCCTCTGGTCTTCAATACAACTTGGGGTCCCAAAGAACTAGGTTCTAATACCAGTGAAGGAATGCCTTAGCAGCAGGATAAATTAACTTGCCCAATTTCTAGGGATCATAAATTGTGAACATCTCATACCTTACAAGCTTCCTAGTGGCCTACAATTAATCATTAATATTCCAGTCTGCTGTATATAATAATAGCCAACTGGATGCAGAATGACTATGTTAGTTCAGCATCTCTCAAGACAGGGTGGGAGTGATCTAGAGACAAGGAATAATTAACGCTTTTCAGTTTTCCCAAGAGGCAACTGATCTGTTCTCTTGTCCCAGCTCTTATTTCACCCCATTTTGAGATCAGTAATTATACTTGGCCACTTCATTAAGTCCTAAGGGATCTCATTAAGTGTGCTCCTCCAACAAAAAGGACAACTTGAGTCATCTTATTCACAGTTTATTCGGTTGCTATGTGACAGAGCTCTACATAAAATCACTTAATGTTTGGTTCTTCACCAAATTGGCTTTTGATAGGGACACAGCATACAGGAATCTTTGAGTGACTTTCAGTCAGTAGATAATTTTTTTCATATAATGAGGATGCTTTTAACTTAATCTCAGAGTTTGAAACTTAGTAGGAACATACAACAGTATGGCATCAGATGTAATCAGAATTATACTGTGGCATCAGGATAAAGGAATCAGAAGACAGATTATATTTATATGCTTCACAGCTAGATCAAAGCTTACAGTATTACCAAACCTTTCCCAGATGATTTTGAACCACTGCCTGACCATGTTGCAGTTTCTGTCTGCGCTGGGGCTGGGTCCTGGATACCTAGATCCCTATTCAGGGAGACTTGTCTTAGCTCGCATGGTACTGTGGGCTGCCTTGTTCTAATAATCCTCGGAGTAAGTCATTCCAAATAAATGCAAGTCTACAGAGTCATTTTTCACTCAATTTAAGACACACTTGAAGAGCCAGTATATCTCTTTATGAGACCTCTTAAAGCTCCCATTGGGTCCCCATGGCAGCCAAGCTCCTCCTGCCTATACCTGCTTTATTTCCTTCATCCTCATAGGAAATGAAGGGAAGTTTCTTCAGCATACTAGGGCCATTGAATCAGCTTCCTGACGACCACAACTTGTAATGTATTTTCACCTGAAAGGTGAAAATGGTTCAGGGGCTTATCATGAGAAGCTGCATATAACATTGATAAATTACTCAGCAAATCAAAAGCTACTAATATATTGGATTTATTGCTAAGTTTGAAAATGCATTTAAGAAACAATCACTGCAGTTGGAAACCATGACAAAATGGACTAAAATATGTAGCCTTTTTAATGACTTATGAGAGATGTGTAGAAACATATAAGCAAAATAGATTTTAAAAATGCATTCTAAGAAGCACTGTCAGTGTAAACAAATACACTTGAGAGAAAAACTAAAATGTGGAGAAATTGTTCAGAATTGGCTACAGCAATAAAAGCTTGTGTGAGTTGTTGGTAATTGGTTTGAACAGGAATAGTGGAGCCACTTTGTACAACTCCTTGAGCATATGCTTGATTCAGCAGCAATGAGATTGGTTTTAAGCACTTTAGACAGGAGAATATGACTGGAATTGGGCTATAGTGGGAGTAAATGTTGTAAACTAAACAGCTGACTTGAGATATCAACAATAGATGGCTATCTACAAGAAGGAATGAGATGATCATTCATTCAGAGGACGACAGGTTAAATTCTCACATGTAACCAGAGAAAAAGAGGACAGCCTATGTCAGAGGTGAATGGATGATGATCCCAAAATAATATAACTGGGGAAAAAGCCTACTTTGGATCACAGAAATGTGGAATGAAGATATAGGAGTTATATTGAGAAGTTATTTTTAATATGAGTATTAAAATCCTAGTGAAATAAACGCATAGTATTTTCAGTGGTCATGAGGGGAAAAGTTTATTCTACAACCATCTTGGGAATGGGTTCAAGGTGAACCCTAGGTTATTAGTATAAGCACAAATGATTAATCAAGGAAGAAGCTTTTGAATGCTATTTGAATATTGCATCTTCAATTTATATGAGTATGTATTAATTGTTTATAGTGATCTTCAGTGTGACATTTTAATTTCATCAAGGTATGCAATGTAAGCTGATCATTTTACTACCCCTTTAGCATTTGAATCCACCAGAAGTTCTTCATGTATTCAGAGTCATAAGTTAGCAAGCCAGCTGTTACTCTTATAACTTTTCTACTTAAGGAAATAGAAGTTCAGGCACAACGAACTGACAAAGCAGACACTGTGATGAATCTTGGATTGAGTCTGAATCAAACTTTCTGGCTCTGAACCTAACTGATGACCCAATGATGCTCATTCTATCCCCTGCTGCCCGCAGTAGCCAAGGCTCTGCTCCTGAGTCTCCACTCTTCACATTTCACTATGGCTTCTGCCTTTATTGGTGTCTAACACTTGCTTCTTTGTCGTCATCCTTCATGGGATTCACCTGGTCTCTTTGTCTCTTCCACAGGCCACAGGGATTCCCAGCCAGCACATCCTGGTAGCAGTGTTACCTGGCTTACCCACAGCTGCTGAGCTCTTTGTTTTGCCCTATCAGGATGCAACCAGAGAAAACAAAAGGTCGCCAGAGGACCTGGAGCAGGTGAGTTGCCTAGAAGACATTCCAACTTCTCCCTTTAGTATCTCCCACCCACAATCTGGCTAGCCACCAATATAGCTCTTAGAAGACCGATGGACTCTCCCATTAACCTTGATATTAGCGTTAGGGATGGTTTAATGAGAGATGGTTTAATGAGAGCAGGTGACTCTTTTGAAGGCCATGCCACTTAGAATTTGGAACACATTTAGGGAGGTCTACATTTTGGTGCAGAGATTACCTAAGAGAGACCTAAGCCAGTTCTGTAGTTTTGCCACTGATATTCATGGATCTATCAGAGATGGAGAAATCAAAGACAACAAATTAATGTTAGTAATTTAACAAAAGTCACAGCACCGCATAGGTATTTTCGTTGATTAGAGAAAATATGTAACAAAGCACCTGGCCAATATAGTAGCTGTTCAATAATTATATTGATGGTTGTTTTATGATAGAAAACAATGTGGAAATAAGAAAGTAAGTTATTCAGATTATTAAATAGCCAGGGATACTGAAGGATGTTTCTGGAAGAAAGAATGTTGCTAGTGAGGATGTAAAATGATTAATGAACTGACTTTCACAAAGTGGAGAATCAAACAAGGACAGCAAGAAAATGGAAGAATGGTGACAAAGTGGCTAGTATTAGTTATGAGGTTTTATAGTGAAACGGGTACTTCTATAATTTCAGTGAAAAGGAAGATACCAAGCTAGAAGTGAAAACACTGATTAAGGAAATTGATTATGTTTTTGCCTGCCCAGGATTGTAGTCACTTAAAACCCATGACAAATTAATGAGTTAGTTTCACCCTCATGGATTTCTAGGAGTTTCTATTACACTGATGGGGGATGTCCTTCTGTATGCTGTGAATATATGTTTCTCTTATTGGTTGATGAATAAAAATGTTTGGCTTAAGACTCAGACTTCTTACTGGCTAGCTTTCTCTTAATTATTAACTCATTACTATTAAATCTGTGTATGTCCACATGGTTTTGGTTTACCAGTGATGCTTGCTTCCTCGGCAGCTACCTGGTGTCTCCTTGACTCTGTCTACTATCTTTCTCTATCCCTGTTTGGATTTCCTGCCTGGCTAAATCTTGCCTACCAATTAGCCAAAACAGCTTTATTCATCAACCAATAAGAGAAACATATATTCACAGTATACAGAGGAACATCCCCCATCATCTACTCTTTTTCTGTCTAAATAAAAGGAAGGTTTTGACTTTAACATAATAAAATTATATGTAACAAATTCATTATATCTAATTTATCTTTTATCATACCTAAAGAAAACCATAATCATTACTGTCTGTCTTCAACACCATCATAGACCCCAGAAGGTTAATATATAAACTGTAGAATTGACAGAGACTTCTTGCTGCCTGGACAGGCACTTTATATTTTTAAGATTTTTAAAAATTTATTTTAGAAGCACTCTTATTTACATATCCATCCCCCCATTCCCTCACCCTCCCATACTCCTGTGCTCCCTAGCAACCCCCCAACCCACTCCCACCTACTCACCAGGGATAGTGAGGCCCTCCTTGGGGATCATCAAAGTCCATCACATCATTTGAGGAATGGCCCAGGCCCTCCTTCCTGTATCTGGGCTGCAGTAGTATCCCTCCATAGGGAATGGGCTCCCAAAGTCCATTTGTGCTCTAGGGATAAACACTGGCTCCACTATTAGAGGTCCCATAGACTGCCTCCTCGCTGGCCCCCACATTCAGAGGGCTTGGTTAGGTCCAATGCTGGTTCTCCAGCTTTACAGCTACAGTATCTGTGCTCTCACTAGGTCAGGTCAACTGTTTCTGAAGGTTTCTCCAGCACAGTCTTGGCTCCTTTGCTCACCCTCCTCCATCTCCACAACTGGATTCCAGGAGCATGGCTAATTGTTTAGCTGAGGGTGCTTGTTTCTGCTTCCATCAGCTACTGGGTGAAAACTCTAGGAATGGCAACCAAGGTAGTCATCAATCTCACTGCCTAGATTCTTAGATGGGGTCATCACTGTGGATCCCCTAACATTTTCCCTGTGCCAGACCTCTCTCTAAACCTGCATCTCCTTTCTTGCCCAACTCTATTCCTCCCCTGTCTCAGTTGTCCTGTTCTCCCCCACTCCCTAGATAGAGTACTGCTGCTAAAATTTCAGGTGTTAAGAGTAGTCTGTCCTATTAATAAATGTGAAAGCAGATGGCAAGGTTCTTTCTTTTCTTTCCTTTCCTTTTCTTTTACTTTTTTTTTTTGAGTTTTTCGAGACAGGGTTTCTCTGTGTAGCTTTGGAGCCTATCCTGGCACTCGCTCTGGAGACCAGGCTGGCCTCAAACTCACAGAGATCCACCAGCCTCTGCCTCCCGAGTGCTGGGATTAAAAGTGTGCACCACCAACACCCGGCTACAAGGTTCTTTATAGGAAAAAAAACATGTGAAGGAGAAGGAACATTGGAAATGGTGACACTGCAATAAAATATGCAGACATTTTTATAACAAATACAAAAGATATAAGAAAAAAAACAAGGCCATTCTTTGAGAGCTGACTTCAGGAATGCTGCTGATCTTAGCCGCTCCCTTCATGCTCTGGTCCCCTCCTAAAGAAGTTGTATGAATGCCCAGTAGGGTAAGAGTATGTATTTTGCCTACTGGTTCCTAAGGAGTGGGAGAGAAAAAACACAGAGAAATGTCCCTGGCTCTCTTCCCTGAGCCATTTCTGAGAGCACTCCCCAGGGAACAGAAATGCTGGTTGAATGGAACTATCTTGCCTGTGAAATAAATTGAGAATTCTTCACAGTGAGAAGCATGTGACCCCTTTGTCAGGATGCTGCCAGTGGGTTAATCAAGTGCCCTCTACCTGGGAGAGCTCCACCAGTTTTGCTTTCAGATCTCCAGAGAGTGTGAAAAGGCTCTCTTGCCCTCAGTGGCCTCATCAAGAAGAGCATATCCTGCTGCTAAGACCAGCTGCTCAAGTCTGGAAGAAGCTCTGCCCTCTGGGCCCTACATCGCTTGCTTCTCTCAGAATCCTCTGGGGGGACAGGTGTAGATCAGCCTCTCATGCATGGAGGAGAGACCACCATGCTCTGAGGAGATTATGATTGCTTGCTGGAGACAGATAAGGCTTATGCTTGTGGTCTTTCTAGCTCTGTAAATGACATTATGGGAAGAACACACCAATTGGTTATCCAAAATCAAACACTCAGCCCTGAAATCATACATATAAATGACAATATACAGACTGAGCAGGTCATATTTAGGAACATATATGTATATACATAAACTTACATATATCTCAATGCAAGAAGAAACCATAAATTCAGAAGAGAGCTAAGAGAGTTTTATAAGAGGGTTTACAGGCAGGAAGTAAAAGGAGAAATATTATAATTGTATTATAATCTCAAAAAGTAAAATTAAAGGTATTTAAAAAAATGGACAGTGGAAAAATAGCAAACACAAATAATACATATTCTGCTTAATCTGTTTCTCCTTACAGATGGATATTTCAAATTTTGAGGGGAGCAAAAGGAAAGACATCTGTGAAAATAGATTAATCTATCAGTGACATTTAATAAGCTTAATGTTTTCAATTAAATGTAGTCATCAAACAGATCATTTTGTGCAGTTACGCTATTCACTGTCAGTCCTGAATTTGAAACATGAGGATTTTGGGTTCTAAAGTTAGTATGATATTGAGTTAGTATGAGAAGGTCATTAAAACAGGAGGAAAACTGTAGCCAATACAGGTAAAGGAAAGGCATGTAGCTAAAGCATGGGAAAACTTAAAGCAAGCAATGAACCATCCAAAGAAAGAATGGAACTAGGTGAAGAAGCCTCAACTGGAATTTAGAATTTGGATCCAAGGCCTTTCAGTCATATAGTTGTGTTGAATGAGTCAGGAGAAACCTTCTTCTGTTAAAAACAAGAACTTTCTCAATTACTAGTTGAAGGGACTGCAGGTCCAGGCTTCATCAACTGGGCCTTCTTCAAAGTAACCCCAGCCTCTATTCTTCAAAGTAACCCAGCCTCTATTCTCTCTAAAGATGGCACCAGAGTATTTGCTCTATTTGTGTTCAGCCAGGTTTATATTGCTCAGACCGACTTTATGAAGAGTTGTTACTACTTTGGATTTGGGATGCCTTGTCACTGATCCATTTCCCAAAGAGTTTTAAAAAATGATTTGCTATGTGGGAATTTCAAAAAATGTGTATAAGAGCACCACATATCTGTGCTATCAACTCAGAATCTGCTCTAGAATGCCATTCAGCACTGTGTGTGCTATCCATAGATGTCTTAGATGTCTGAGGATCTGCAATGAGAACTTATTAGCTCTTGGGCAGGAGGACGGTTTATTCCTATGCTCAGGAGCTATCCCTAGCCATAGCTGAACTAGAACACTTAAAAGAATCCGTTTGCACATTAACACGATGCGGCCCTAAGATCAAACTGAAAGAATCATCTAGTTGAGCAAAACCTAACAAGTTGGAGTACCAGCAAACAGAGGTCCAAATGCCCCCTCAAGAAAGGTAAGACATATGTCCATATCAAAAGACACTACCAACATTCTAGCCCCAGAAGCCCAGGTTTCAAAATGAAAGCGAAAACATCACTAAACACCAAGACAATATGTGTCCTTCACAGTAGAATATTATTCCCACAGTAGCACATACTGTGGAAAGTAACTTAGATTATGCACAAGGTAATAAGTTCAAAATAACAATTATAAACATGGCCAATGAACTCAAAGAGAATATGAATAAATTCTGGATGAAGATCAAGAAAATACAAACTTTTGAATGAGATAAGGAAAGCAATTCAACATTTTGTGTAGATGGAAGTTACTGTCCTGCTCAGCTCTGCAGCCATTTAGTTCCAAATAAACAAACAGAGGCTTATATTAATTATGAACTGTTTGACCAATGTCTAAGGCTTCTCATTGGCTAGCTCTCTCTTAATGATTAACCCATTTCTATTAATCTATGAATCCCCACGTGGTCTTGACTTACTGGAGAATGCCCAAGTCTCTTACTTTCTTAGCAGTTACATGGTGTCTCCCTTGCCACTCCCTCTGTGTGGCTTCTTCCCTGGAGTCTTCTAGCCTGGTAGTCCTGCCTGTTCTTCCTGCCTAGCTACATCCTGCCTGTCCATTGACAAAAACATCTTTATTCATCAACCAATAATAGAAACATATATTCCCAGCATATAGGACATCCTCAATCAACTTTGCTTTACTTTAATAATATTTTTATTATTTGAAAATCCCATACTTTGTAAACAATAAATTTTGATCATATCTACTTTTCATACCCCATCCCCACTCTCAACACCCTCAGCACATCCTAAATATGCATCTCCCCCTTGTACCACTCTTTGGGGGTGTTTCAAAAATTGACTAACTCCTCTCTTAAACTTCCTTTTGTTCATATTTCAATGGTTGACATTTTCATTCCAGTCATATGAGTGTGTTTTCTCCAAATTATTTTTATTAAGGATGGTGTAAATGTTGAATATATTCCTAACATGGTGACTATCACCATTGTAGACCAAATGTTGACAGTTTTCTGTCTTTGGGTCCCACAGGATGATAACTATGATTCCCTACTGTCTGGGCATAGCCTTGGCACTTACTTAAGATAATTGACTTGGGAGAAGGAACTCCATGTGTCACTTCTAACCTGGAGAAATGAAGTGCTTGCAACTTCTTTTCCTCCTGTGCTGCAGTGAATGGAAACATCTGAAATGGCTTCTCCAATCTGTTTCTCATGTGCTGGGAAGCATCTGCCCATCTGTGGTTGATACTGTGCATGAGCGGAAAAGAATGCATCTTTTGTTCAGGTCCCTGAATTGATTCTCATCGTTATACCCAGTCTTCTTCTTTTGAGATTCAGAACAAGGAGTATCACTGTTTTTCTTATAGCAACGTTCTTCCATAATATCCTTTTCTAGTGTCTGTATTGAGCCCCGGCTTTGTCTTTTCATACAGCAATTTAAGCGAAATGTGACCTTCATCTGAATCATAAGCATATTCTAACAAAAAGTCAGATACCAAGAATAACAGACTGTTTCTTGAGCCATGATTGTTCAGCTAAAGTAGAATAGGAAATGGGATGTGTAGCAAAGCAGCAGAAGAGGCATGACAGTATGAATTAAAAGTGAAATTCACTTAGGAGGCACACTTTTCACTTGGCCAGCAAGAGAAGTAAATTCATCTTGCTTAGCAAGTCTAGTCTTTGAGTGATCACCTTATTTCACTTGAGTCAACATCAGGCAAATGCTTGTTCTTCTCATCTATGCTCTTCTTATGCTTCCTGTAGATTGCAGATTGTTATAATCTTTCTGTTGTTTAAACTATCAAACATTACAATCTGCATAGATCTGAGGAACGAATATGTTCATGAGGAAACTATTAGGAAATGCCTATTCTTATGGCCTACATTGCTCAGTGGCATTGGGGATAGTATTTGTGTGTGTGTGTGTGTGTGTGTGTGTGTGTGTGTGTGTGTGTGTGTGTGTGTGTGTGTTTGTGTGTGTGTTAATGTTGGGTTGGAAATGACAATGTAATCAATTAAATATTGTTATAATTTTATCTCTTTAACTTACCCAAATATACAACTAGATATTTTCCTCTCTCCCTCATGGTCAAATGATTCAAAAGACCTATTTTATTTTTAGTAGGGCTGAACTAGGATTAGGAGTCAAACAAAAAATGGTTTAGTCTCAACTTCTCAAATATTAACTGGGTAAACTTGGATATGACCTTTTAACTCTATGTTCTTCCATGGGGATGCCAGGATAAACACAAGAAAAAATCATCAGACATAACCAACATTATCAAAATCAAGTGTTCAATGCATATATTATATACTTGAATGTATAAATAGCATCTCATGATCTGATAAAGACAATGAAAAGTAAGTACTTCTGTAATTAACCTGGTAAGAGGTTTTTAAAGTATTGTTGAAATTTGTAAACTGTTTGTAACTAATTTATTTGAATAGAAAAATGCCCGGTTTTAATTAAGGTTGTTCTTGTAGGGAATGTAAATTGCATTTCTTTTGCTTATTATGCATAATTTCTCTCCCACAGAGTATATATCCTTTATCAAATATCTTTTGATGCAAGTTAAATACCATGAAACACATTCTGTTGCCCGATTAATTTGGCTGGCTTAGATTTGTAAATGATACAGACAAATCAAATGAAGCAATGATAGAAACCAACACACACCTAATTATTTTCACCAGGGACTCTCCTGGAGATAATAAATTAAAAGTATGTTGCTATGATAAATTATATTTTGATTTAGTTATTATATGTCTCACGTGTGTTACAATAAATCTTTCCACCAAAATCTGCCAAGCCCCACTGCCACTTGTGTGCTTTACGCCAGCCACCTGCCTGGGGCTCAAATTAATACACAGAAACTTGTATTAGGTTCAAATGCTGCTTGGCCAATGACTAGGATTCTCATCTGTTAGCTCAGTCTTAATTATCATAAATCTATATATTTTATAAGACTTATCTTATAGAGGATGCCTTCTGCTGGCACCCTCTCTTGCCAGTGGATCACATTGCGCTGCTGGAGGAAGAGTGGAGGGGAAACAGGATACTTCCTGTTTCTCCTAGCGTAAATGAGTCTCCTTGCTATGTAACTTCCTGCCTGGATCACCATTTCTCTACTACATTTCCCAGAATCCTCTTTGACTCCTAGTCCTGTCTAACTTGCTGTCTCATTGGCCAAACAGAACTTTATTTAACAATCAATAAGATAAACATACACAGTACATTCCCCATCACACGTGAATATAAACATGTTCAAGACTAAGAAGCTCTCACTTCACTGGTGTGAAAGTGAGAAGTCCCCTGCTGTAGATACATAGTTCTATGTTCTGTTTCTGATAGTTTCTAGGAAGCAGGTAAATTTCTTAATTGCTTTTGAGACATCCTTTATGTTTGAACTAGAGTATTTTTTTTTTCGTTATGTGTCTACATATGCCTGTGTTTGGATGTTTGCATATATATGTATGTTAAGAATTTGCATGCACCAGGCATTGGTGGCACACGCCTTTAATCCCAGCACTCGGGAGGCAGAGGCAGGCAGATCTCTGTGAGTTCAAGGCCAGCCTGGTCTCCAGAGCGAGTGCCAGGATAGGCTCCAAAGCCACACAGAGAAACCCTGTCTCGGGAAAAAAAAAAAAAGAATTTGCATTCATTTGTAAGTTTCAAAGTCAAAGCCTTTGTGATTGACATTTACTAATAACCCATTATTTCCCAACAAGACCCCACTAATTGAGTAGTAATCAGAGATTTCAGAGGAAGCATCTTTGATGGAATTTCTTGGAAATTCTACTCTTCTTGTAAACCTAGATTGCTAAGGAAATTTTCATAAAAAAGGAGTATCTTCAGAGAGGCACCAAGTTGTTTTCAGCATGATTTTGACTTTTTATTCATGGTTTCACAATTGACAATATTTGAGAGACATACCCCAGGTGTCATCCATGGGGCATGGGGGATCATCTTGCACTCCTCTCATTCAGCAGAGAAGTTTATGTGCAGGGCACTGCAGTTCAATGACCAACTAGTGACTTCCATAATGGACTCCAAACTAAACCATCAGGGCCTACTTAATTATTAAGGCTCCACAGTGCCATTTTGGCAACATAGTAGAGAAGATAAAACTCAGCAAATAAAAAAGGAAAGCAAAAGAATTTAACTGAAGAATAATGGTCAGCATCCATCTAATTAGACTTAATAACATATTAAATAAAATATGAATTTGATGCTCAAAATAGTGTATTAAAAATAAGTCAAGGATAGCAGATAAAAATAAGTAGTACAGTTATTCCTCAGAGCCTTTCAGAAATCCCCCAAAATGTGTAAGCCAAGCATAGTAATGAGCTTTTACCCTGTCTGTAATCTTTACTGCATGTAATTTCTACTCAAACACCTTGCTCAGGCTTACTAGTCCATGGTCTAGAATTCCATGTATCCTACCAACATATACCAGCCTCCGGAATGATTTAGCAAACGCCTGCATGAATGAAACAGGGATTAACTAATTCATTGCTTAAGCTGTGGCTGCATTGTGTTTAATAGCATTGTTGTTATGTTATTGACAACATTTATTATCCAAGAGTCATCAAGTGCTTACCCATGAAAGCCATGGGGATGGTTTAGAGAAAGTGAAGGAAGTAAAGTAAATCACACCCAGAATGTCTGGATTGTATCAAGCTATACTACTTTGCAGGTCTTAGATATAGCAGTCTCTCCCTTTCTGTCCCTTGCTGTGTAATGTTAGCAGGCCTTGTTGAACTTCGCAGTATTTCTCAGTGTGGCTGTTCATAGTCAATATGACAATTATGGTGGCACTAACTATAACACTTCTTTCAGATATCTGAAGTTCTAATCCACAAACTCAACCAAAACTTGGTGCACTTTGAGCTGAAGCCTGGGGTCCAAGTTCTTGTCCATGCAGCTCACCTAACAGCAGGTCAGTCTCTATATTTGGAAGTTCCTGCCAGCAACTGTACTGAAGGGAAGTCGCATTCATTGTAATCAAGGATAGATGGTAATTATAAACTGGGCATAGTTCTTGAACGTGTAGGGATAAATTTATTTATGATTTGCTTGCCTGAGGATTAAGAAAGACAAAGCAGCTGGCCACTAATTCTTACCTCTACCTCAGGCTTAAAGCTAGCTATCCTCAGCTTAGCTAGATACTGAATGTCTCATACTCAATGCCTGATACTTATATACCTCTCATCAGTCCTGGAATGAAAAGTGTGACCTCTGATTCTCTTTTAGACTAATTCACTCTTGTGTAGATCTGGGTGCCTTGGACTCACAGAGATCCCTCTACCTCTTAATCCCGAGTCCTAGGATTAAAGAAAGGTGTGTTCCTGGCTTCTGTGGCTTGTGTCTGACTTTGCTCTCTGAATTCTCATGCAAGCTTTAATAAATTGTAAGTCATATATTGCTACACATAAGCATTTAACTTTTAAATATTTTTGCTTTCTTTTCTTTATTTAGCCAGATCTTTACCTTCCATCATTTTTCTAGAATGAATTTTGCACACCAAGAAAGCATTTAAATTCTGGGTATCATAGAGACAGCTATGGAATATAAGTCACTGGAGGAAATACCTTAATTTGTATTATATACTTACAAGAATGAGTCACTTGTGAAAAGTTGTTGTTTTTAATTCCTATTTGTTATTAACAACTGAGGCAATTGAAGAAATTAAAGGCAGAGATGAATTTTGTTTGCTCCAAATGAGACTGAAAACTTCTATTAAAGGAGGTGGTATTTTGGGAGATTCTTGAAGGATAGATAAGACAGAGTTCACAAGATATCCCAAAGATCAAAGAACCAAGGTTTAGGCTGCCGAGGAAGCCAAACAAATGAGAAGGGAGGGCAGAAGCTTCCATCTCAAATCTCCATTTTCTTGGAGATTCCAGGAGGTTCCCAGGTCTAGAAACAGGTTAAGCATCTTTCCACTGACTAGTTTTCTCTCATGATCTCAAAAACTAAGTAGTCAGATGCAATTCCTAAGGAACATAGGAAAGGTAGGTAGAGTATGGAACGTGTCATGTGAGTCCTCTGTATTTTAGTGGACTCTGAGAAGCCCTATGAGTCTTTGAAAGGGGGTGTGAAATTTACTTAGTTCACAAATTGTGCTTGCTGAGAAGACATCCTTCACATCATCTTCCTCCCCCACAGTACACAGAGATACCTGCTCACATATAAATTTAGAGGCTGAAAGCAGCAGAGCCCAATATTCTATACTGAATTCTGCATTGGAAGGAATATATTTCATCTCTTGTAATTTAAAGTTTGTTTTCCAGTATACTCGACTTCTGAATGAATTCAGAAAATGATCACTTTTGTTGTAGTGAGATTTATTCAGAAAAACATCCCTTTTCTATCTACATCAAGACTCTGTTGGAGTGGAGGGGGAGACAGCCCAAGGCAACCTAAACAGAGACTTAGCTATATGTCTCCAGTTCCTCTATGCTGGAGGACAACTGTGTTTTGACCCTCCACTTTTTTCTCACAACTCTCCTTTCAGTTATTATGTATGGCAGCTTTCTATTTCCCCTGTCACTATATTAGATTTCAAATATGACTTTTGTTGTTTTGGTAAATTTGACATGCAGCAAGACCAGCACTCAAGAGATGGCCTCTCACATTGTTTTGGTAAATTTGACATGCAGCAAGACCAGCACTCAAGAGATGGCCAGGAGAATCGAGGCAAGTCCCCTTAGTGAGAGTCCCAATCTCAAATACAAGAAGACGAGAAAAAGGAGTGAGTAGGTGGGAGGACTTCTTGTAAGAACTAGTTTAGAATCAAAACTAACTTGAAAAGTAGGTACGTAGATATCTGAGACATATTTAGCCCATGGCTTAGTCATGAGAAACTGATACAGCAAGGAAATCCTAAGACATATGGGGATCCATAGCTCACATAGAAGCTTCATTCTTCATAGCTATGAGAAATTCTTTCCACTGGAGTAAGTTTTAGATGTCCAGGAAGAATACAGAGTTTTAAAGACCCAAGAATTTCTTCCATTTTATGCTAACAATTCTTCCACATATGGGTGTTTGGGAGTAGGAGTCAGGTTTCTGGGAAGAAAGGCTGGCAGAAAGAATAGATGTCATTGGAAGTTCACATAACAATAACATTTGAAAGACAGATGTATCAAAGGCATATATGACTCAAGGTTGTCCAGACAACAAGAGAAAAGATACATTTTTGTCAGGGGAGGAGGGGGCTCTTACACTGGAAAAACTTAATGAGAGAAAGGAAAATCTTTATCTTCCTATCATATGGCTGTTCACTTTCCTTCCTATTAGAATTATTAGTAAGCTCATCTGTTTTAGTCCACTTGCAAAATTTATCAGTCAGAATTATGAAGTCTGTGTATTCAATGACTCAGCAGCTATATTGATTAGTCTTAATGTGGAAGATTAGTTTCTGTACAGGAGGAAAATGACCAAGACTGAAAGAATAACTGAACCTCAAAATGTTGTTTGTTCACATAATAGTAGAGAACTGACTATATCCCTAGGTACAGACATTCTGGGCTGGACTTTCCTAATCACATCAACAGCCAAAGACTTTTGTCAAGAATGACACAAATAATTACAATGAAGGACTATCAGTTTTTAACTTGAAATTGATCCTGGAATAGCTGTAGCTACTTAATTCACAAAAATAAAAAATAGCTATTAGAACATCAGTGTCTTGGACCACATGTTTATCCCGCAGAGTAGAGGGTCATTCCTTTTATACATGGGAAACAGGGCACATTAGGTGACAGTTGGGTGGACTAAGGTACTTGCTTGCAATAGCGCTTTCTTAATTGAAGCTAACATATTTATGTGTGGGTAAAAAAGATAGTTTGATGCAGATATGGTATTTTGGTTCCTGTTATCTTCCCATCCTCTCATATCCCTTACAGAAAGAGAAAATCCTTGTGTAAAGGCCCACTGCCTGCAGCATTTCATGTCTCTAAGCAGGAACACGGAAACCTTCACAGGGACCATTATCGTACAATGCAGCTGCCATGAATTGCTCGGCAGATGTTCAGCAGTCTCCTTTAAAAATATTCAAGGCAGAGTATGCTGCTGGTGAAAACCAGTACATGACTTGGTTATTCTCCCAGGGAAATGAACAGTCCCCTTTCAGGAATTTACTAGCCGTATTTTGGTTTTCAAATTCAGTTCCTTATTTGCTTTCATGGGGGCACAAGGTAAGTATTTGCAGAAACCTGGGTGTCATTAGAGACTGGATTTTGCTTATCTCCTCCTGTATTCTCTCTTTGGGAATTCATTAATTTCGGTAGCGAAGCTGAGCTAAACTTTGAACGCAGTGTTTATTTTGTTTGTAGTCTTTCCTGTGCTTCTCGGAAACTGTGTGATTTCTCTTGAGAGTCTTACTATACCTGGCAGATAGATTTCTAGAATTCTCTTTGCAGAAGCATGAGATTTGGCATTATGTGAGAATAGAGGAGAAATAAAGAACATGTTGTTCTTCATAAATAAAGAAGACAGAGGCAAGGTCATGGCTTGAACAAATGCTTTTGGCTTTTACAACCTTTTGAGAAGACAGAGCCTAGCACATTGCAGAACCCACCAGAGTGTTAGAAAGGTGTACAGAAATCAATAACACCTGGAGTTGGAGTAGTAATACTGATATTTGGGACAAAGTATAATTTTTTCATTCCTACCCACCCACCCCAACTTCTTCAGCTCTCTACACTGCTAGATCTATTTGTATTTTAAGGCTTAGCTATATGTCAACATGTGCATGGCATCTTTGCAGAAGGCTTCACCTCATTACCATCACCCATGTCTGAACTTGTCGATTTTTAAATCTCCATCTGATGATGGTGACTATGGCTACCTCCACCCCGTTTCCTCACACATACTGATTTCTTCTGAGTACAGTTCTTAATGGCATTATGTTGTCACCATTACTGAACCCAGCAGGGAACTTGCACATCAGTTGCTTAACAAACTTTTCATTTACAAATAATCAGGTGCATAATGCATAATGTGTAGAAACATACTTACACACACACACACACACACACACACACACACACACACACCTGGCTAGTGGAGCCTTTCATTGTTTTATCCAACAGGCATCTAGAGAAAACCATATTCTCCATTTCTTATCCCATGTTATGGGTGTAATAATGATTATTTATTTGTACAATGAGGATGGACAACTAGAAGGAAAATAATGCCCATCCATGTTCCTTGAAGTTCTATGTCTCAGAAAAACAGAAGCAAGAAAGGATGGGCCGGGGAAGCAAGGGTCTGTTGTTGAATGAATCCTAAATCAAGTGTAACATATTGCCCCTTGCTTAGTGCTCTATGTAGTGTATTTTAGAGTCAGGATTTCACTGTCATGAGTGTTTGCTGGTCACTTATGAAGGCTTAAATTCTGGTGCAAGCCTTCTGATTTCTACTGGTTATTATAAAAGGATAAACCTGAACCATTAACTAAAACTCTGTAAAAGAAATTTTTTGTTTTCTTTTCTTTTTGTTAAAGATTTATTTATTTATTTATTTATTTATTTATTTATTTAATGTATACAGAGTTCTGCCTGCATGTGTACCTGCAGGCCAGAAGAGGGCACCAGATCTCATTACAGAAGATTGTGAGCCATGTGGATGCTGGGAATTGAAATCATGACCTCTGGAAGAGCAGCCAGTGCTCTTAGTCTCCAAGGCATCTCTCCAGCCCCTTTATTGTTTGTTTTCATTGATAACTTGGAATGTACTCAGGAGCAATATCTGTTTCAGATTTATCCTTTTATTCCTCCAGTGCTTCTATCTTCTATGCCTCATTTGGCAATAATTCCTTTAAATTTATGGCTCTTGCAGAGGGTATAAGACAAATTAGGACTCTCATTCCTTCTCCACTCGACAGAGCTGAACCACAAATACTCATGAATGGACACAGTGAACAGGGTAGTAACAATGGATAAGGCAGTAATAGGGGAGCTACCTATGGAAATGATCCTTAAAGTCATCATTTTTATAATATTTCATAATTCATTCTGTTTGTTTAAGGGCA